TTGGCATGTGCTAAAATAGCACATGTTATTTTAGCACATTATCTTATTTGGGTCACATCACTTCTTATTTGAGTCACGTCACCTCTCTACAACATCACTTCAACCAAATCCATATTTCACATTTTTTCATAAAAAGTTAAAAGTATACTAATTTAACACTCCCCACATAACCCTTCAATATATAAAAGTACAAAATAGTCCAAAATAGTACATGTTTGTTTTGAGGGATAAGCGTGTGGGATTGGACTATTAGTCCCACCGGACTAATAGTCCATTGTTTGTTTGAAAATTTTTGTGGGATTGGTATCCCATGGGATTATTTTGTGAAATGTTCATTTTACCCTCCATGCTATTACTTAGCAAGCAATTAGAAAAGGATAAAATAGTCTTTTGAACATTTACAAATTATTTTTTTAGTGTTGTTAATTTAAAATTATATATTAAATAAAAAATTTTAATTATAAATTATAAATTAAATTTAATTAAAAATGATAAATTATAAATTATGGCCTTATAAATTAAATTTTTTTAGTGTTGTTGAAAATTTAATTTATATATTAAATAAATTTATTTTTTATTGTCGTTAATTTAAAATTATATATTAAATAAAAAATATAAATTATAAATTTAATTTAATTGAAAATAATAAATTAAAATAATTAAAATATTGTGCAAAAAATAAAATAAAACAAATTTTTATTTAATCTAGCTAAAAATAATTAAAATATTAAAGCTATTTTTAATATTGCTATTACTTAGTAAATAATTGAAAAGGATAAAATAATCATTTGAGCATTTATCCTTCTCCATAATATTCCAAACAAACATTGGATAACTAAAAATAGTCCAATCCAGACATCTAATCCCATGACTAAACAAATATAGGATACAAATTTAGTCCAACCAAATAGTCCCAGGACAATGTATCGCAGGACTAATAGTCCGATGGATTACAATCCTCTCTTATCCAGTCTGTCCAAACAAACGCACCCTAAGTTACTAAGGGTTCAAAAAATATTTGTAATGGTAAAATTATTCATAAAATACCTTAAATATGATAATTAAAATTTGGTAAATCAAATGTCTAAATAAAATGATTTATTAAAATATAAAAATATGTTATATACTAATTGACATACAAAATATTTGACAATGGATTTTTTAAATAATTTTTTTTAAAAATTTATAATTTAAAACTATTACAGTAGAACATCTATCCCTACAACAAACTAATGTAACACTAGTCTAAAAATCTATCAGCCAATAAGAGTACGAAAATGAAAAAAAAAAAAATATATATATATATTAAATGCAAGTAAAATACATATAATAAAAGAGATGTTTTCTTAGATTTTCTTGTGAAGCAAATAAAGGATCAATTTATGTCTGTGCTGCTGATGTCAATGGTGTATCAAGTTTGTTGAAAGTGTTAGAAAAATATACTAAAAGTCATGTTTTTGTATAATAGGTTTTAGTATTTGGTTTTAATAATATCAATTATTTCAGTTTTAATGAGAATCATTATGAGTAATAGTTGTATTATATAATATGTCTAATGATTTGTATATGTGTCTTTTATTCTATGAAGTATGTGATTTGGTGTGTGGAGTACGACTTACGCATGTAAGATCAGATCACTAGTTCTTATAGAATATAAGTAGTTTATGTTCTAAGATAGATTTGGACACACCATCGGTAGACTATAGCATGGTGTTTGAGTAGGTCTATCTTGACTACGGGAAACCGTAAAGTTTCAACTCATTGTACTAGTACGCTTTGTGTGTATTGAGTAGGACTGTTTTGGGATAATTGTTTATGTACTGATTAGATGAGACAATTTGCATCCCATAGTTATTATGGCCCTGTTTGGTAGAGCTATGGGAAAGTACTTATAGTTTATACCTAAACAGCTTATAGCTTATAACTATGAACATAAGTTGATTTCTGACTTATAAATTAAGCATCTCTTGTCCCATTCAAAGAATAAGTTGATTTCTGACTTTCAAAAAGCTATAAGCTATAAGCTAAACCAAACACATCAAAATAGCTTAAATTAAGCTGAAAGCTGAAATAAGCAGCTTTTAAGCTGCACCAAACAGGCACTATGAGTGCTTATTCTCTTATCTGAAAATAATTAATAATCACATGTATTTAGTGTTGGTCATTTTGATTAATAAAAGAGTGAAATTCTTTATGGGTCAATAAGTTCAGTGAGTTAGGTGATCACTTTACGTGTATGGCGAATATTCATTATTGATAGAATCCACGTCCCTGTTAGGGATTGATAATACCCCCTTGAAGAAGTTTATAAGTTTTGATTATGTTAAACGGATTTTGTATCTGACATATCAAATAAGTTAAGTGGAAGGTCTCAAGGAAATATTAGAAGTCAATTAATTAGAATTGTCAGTAATTCATTTAATTGACGGATATTAATAATCTTAACGTGGGGAGATAAATAAGCATTTAATAATGTGGAGCTCGAAACATAATTTGGAGATTAAGATGGAAGTTCAATTATAATTATTTAGTGGCATGTAATATAATTTATGTAATTATAAATTATAATTCAAGTTGAATTAAGTTTTCCTAATTTTATAGGGAGTCCTAATCCTAATCTACTCCTAATGGTCTCTACCGTAGCCTATATATATGCAGTCTTGTAGCTCACTAAAATATATAATTTTTCAGGTTTAGAGAGAGAGAGTAAAGAAATTTACGTTTTTTAGCCCACACTTAGCTCATGATTAGGCATAAAGCAGGAATATGGTAGAAGATCGTAAGGTGCAACCGAGTTCGAAGTTTATCACCTACAATTTTTTGTTCGTGATATAAATGAGATCAAACTAGACAAATCTCAAATGTATAAATCTTAATTCCGCCTTGCAGGGTTTTATAGATCACTGTAATTTTTTTGGGTCAAATCTATGAGCAATATCATTGGGTCCGGAAAATTCGGTCCAACAAGAACACCGGAGAATTTTTTTTAAAGGTCTTTGATATTAAGATTTTATAAAATAAAGAACATATAATATTTTTATAGTAATTGGGGTTCCTCAATATTTTCACAGAGAAAATTTGACTCAGAAAAATCTATGCTTGACTCAGAAAAATTTCGGCCCTAACACAGAGAAATTTCTCTAATATGATTACAAAGAAATTTTGAAAATTTTCTAGTATGATCATAGAGAAATTTTATTGAGGAACCTTAGCTAATAAAAAAAAAAAAATTTGGACCTCTCCTATTACACAAAGTTGGAGAGGGATATTTCATTAATTTTCCCTTTTTTTAACTTAATAATTCAAACAACCAATCCATTGTTTACCAACATTGTGACAATGTTAACATTTCAAATGATCTTATTAACAACATAAAAGTCCTATTTTATTTGATCAAACACTAAAAAATTAAACAGATACGTAGCTTCTTATTTTTAAAAAAAGATAAACGAAATGAGTTAAAAATTTAACAAATTTAAAGGAAATATATAATTTTAGAGGAGACAAAACTTAAGTATAATTTTTATATGGTTGAGGAGAGACATATGCCCCTCTTGGGCCTTAATTGGCTCCATCCTAGATGTGAAAGTAATTCTTGCAAACAAGGTCGCAATACTATCTGTATGACATAAGAGGACCTTAACTGCCAAGGACTTCTATTCCAATTGACATTACCCAACACTCTCATATGAGAGGTTAGAATTCAAACCTCCTAATCCTGTATTTGGTTGGAAAATTTGAAGAGAGATTTGAAAAGAAAAATAGAAAAGATAGATGAAATGTGAATAAAATATACTTATATTTTACATAATTTCACACATCTTTTATCTTTCTCTTTCTAAATCCCTTCTTAAATTCCCCAACCAAATATAGCGTCAGGGATATTGTGGTAGTTTCATTAGCTGTTATTTGTTTAACCCGCCATCTGTTGTGTTTTTAGCAGCTCTCTTTTTCCCATTCTTTAGGAGTAGACTATATGCTACAAAGAAAAAGACCATGCCTTGTGATGCCTCTGTTTGGGAAGTGAGTTGACTTTTTGGCTTTTTAATTTTTTTGGCTATTTTAGTTTGGGCTAAAAAGTTTAGTTTGGAAAGGGCTTTTTGGCTTTTTAATTTTTTTGGCTTTTTTTGTGAGAGAAGAATGTAATGATTATGGGTTAAATGTGATATTTTATTTTTTGTGACTAAAATAGCCTATTTTGCCTTTTGTAGCTAAAATAGTCAAAAAAAACCCAAATTTAGCTCTTGCCAAACAGAGCCCATGTAGTGAACTTAAGTACTTCCAAAGAAGATTAGAAGCTGATCTAACAAGTAACTATTAACTTATGTCAATCAAAACAAAAATATATAATTTAAAAAAAAAAAAAAATTGAGTGCCTTCTGATGGTGAGAGCATACAACTTTTTCGAAGGATTTTTTTTAATAATTATTTTGTTTCGTCAAATTCTGGGAGTTATGTTTGTAAAATATTTATTCTACTTGGGACAAATTACAAATAAATGAAAGGAATAAAAAAATAATTGCATTTCAGTGGAATGTTACCTAAAATTATTGAAGGAATAAAATTTTGAAAAATAATTGCAAAGAGTTGGTTTCCAGTTTTTTTTTCCTGAACTTCCCCTCCTCTTCCCGTAGATGAGATGAATAATCCAGTATCATCAACAACAATCATTAGGCTAAATCCATTTCTTTATATTTGTGTTTCATATATTTTTCAAATGAATTTCTCCGGCAAGCTTGTTACTTCAGCAATAACTAAATGCTTAAACAAATCTATTGTGATGATAGAAGAAACTATAAAATTATACTGAAATTTCAGTCTCATTCACAATCTCAAGACTCAAATTTTACAATTTCTCAAACACATAAAAGTTGACAAATTGCCCAGTTACTTAAAAATCAAGAAATTTCTCATTTTTTCATTTAAAATTTCTTAGTTATTGGGCAGAAACTGTAAAACATTGAAATTTCATGATTTCCCAAACACACACTAAATCAAAGATCAAAGATCAAAGATCAAAGATCAAAGATCCTCATCATTGCAATTAGTAAATCCAGGTTCTCTATACTAAAAGTAGTAAAAATACACACTAGAATCAAACAAATCTATGCAAAAACAATATCCAATTCTTAATATAACAAAAAAAAGGAAACTATTGATCAAAAGATTGCTCATCAATGATATCACCAGCCTCCAAAACAAATGGCAGCTGCAGGCCTGCCACAACCAATAAGCCACACAAAAAATCCTTCCTGAACTGCGTTTTCATCTCGTGGGAATAACCAAGAAGATTAATTGACAACCCAACCAAAACTTGATGCATATATATAGCCTAAAAAATCAGAACAATTGGGCTGCTCAAACTCCCTGTATATATATATACAATCAAATAATATTCCATACTGTAGTTCACTCCACACCTTACACTATCAGCAAACCAGTCACCTCTCCACATATTCCTCATGATCTCCAAATCTATGCAGAGCTTTCAAAGCACTTCTTATTTGTTCAATGTCTCGAAGTGCCATGTGCGCAAGAAAATTGATCAAGCGTGATGAGCTAGGTGATGCGAAAAAATCCTAGAAAAACTCGGGAGCCTTTTAGTGAGGCACGATCAGCACCCCTCCCCATCCATTGTATAAACAGGAATTTGCCATGACTTCGTATTTTTCTTTGGATCGTCAGTAAGGCTTAGATCTGTCTCTTCTTGCTTGAATGTTTTTATGATTGTTTTGGCTCCCATTATGATAAGCCTTTCTATCATGAACAACTGGTAATTGTTCTCAATGAACCGATCCAATATACTGCTGTAATTTGATGAATATGCCAACTTATACCTGAAGACATTCGACACCAGCGAAAAGGTCAGCTCAGCCTACTTATTTATGGGTCAGAAGAGGTGAATTTAACAGTAGGGGTTGGAAACAAGGAAGGATCTAGGAACATCTCAAATTGTAAAAAACTATGTATATTATACTAGTAATTAGTAAGATAATTTCAATAAATGTGAAGTTACATGTGTATTTGCCCCTATCAAAATTTGAATCTGGATCTGTCCTTGGTTCCAACATTCAGTTCTCTTTTAGAGCAATCTAAGAGTTTTAATGATGTATTCTATGGAGCCTAAACAATAGCTGAGAAATATTCAGTCTCAGACAATATTCCTGCTAGTACATAGGATAAGAAAAGTGAAAGAACCATAAACAAAAAAATTGCAAAAAAAAATTGCAAAAAAAGAAAAAAGAAGAAGAAGAAGAAAAAGAAAAAGAAAAAGAAAAAGATTTACCTGATACCAAGAGGCGAAAAGAAACCCGGTGTCCTCTCATTTGAAGCAATGAAAAGTGTTCGTCCTGGTGGAACCCATTTTGAAATTCTACAAAGAATGAATTCTGGACGAGTGTCCCGGTCAAGATGGGGATGCAAGGCCTTATCAATGCCAAAGCTGTCCTTCCTAGTTTTTAATTTATCACCTCGACGAACATGAATAGCATCGTAATCGCCAAGAAGCGCCTTAATCTGTAGGTCTTACAATATTACTCCTCTTTTATTTTATTTTTATTTTTTAAAAATAAGTTCATACAAATGAATCAAATGTTGATAACAAAAGTATTTATAAATTATCTATGCAAAATTACATTCTGCAAATAATGAGCAAGCAGCAGTGAATGAGTTAGAATAACAGTGCAGAATTATTATTCATACAATCCATTAACAAAGTATGTAGCTATTTGGAAAAATCCACATTCCCTGCTATCAATCTAAAATCTGTGACCAGATTAAAAATGTGGTCTAATTGGGGACCACAGCACTTTCCTAATATATTCTCCTCATTCAAATCATATTCCCAAGGCAAGATATAAATGACAGAAAAAAACCTGATAAAATGGAGAATTTTGGGGCCAAAAATGCATCAACCATAACCAGTATAATTAATCAGACTGGAACCATTGCCAAAGCAACAATGGCTGTCAAAAAACAGTTGAAAACTTAAACTGTAAAGAGCACTTGACAGTCGTACACTGTTTTGGCCAAAGAAGCCAGCCATTGAATTGGTAATAGAGCTGGCCAATTATTTAACTTGCTTAGTTGACTTAATCCACATAAAGGAGGTGTTTGGTGCAGCTTATGGAGCTGCTTATAGTAAGTGTTTTTATATTTTTTATAAGTTTGTGCCAGAGCATTTGGTGAATTTTCTGTTTATAGTTTATGATGCCGAAGTAAAGAAGCTGAAACAAAACCAATTATTGGGAAGCAGGAGGAGAGGTGCTTTTAGCTTATGCTTTTTGATTATTAGCTTTCAGCTTGTTAAAAGTTGTACTGAACTATTGCATCACATTTTTAACTCAAGGTGCAATCAACACTAGGTATTCAACTATGTGACATTCCAAAGTAAGAGGCAGAGCCATTTAACCATCACCCCATACACCACAACATGACAAACTACAATGGTGGACAGTGCTCCTGCATATGCATAGACCTCGTTGCTTCCAATATATCAGAACCTACCATTTGCTCTATAAAATATTTCTGGACTAGCTTCAACCATGAAACTTTTCAACTCCCTATCCCAAACCAGCTTATTATTGATCTTAATATTCTTTCCAACAATTTGCTAGGAAATGAAGGTGTTTAAACCAGGCGATTTGAACTCAGGTCTACGTGCAAACTGAAACAAATATGACACAATCTGCCATTATGAACACTAAACCTGTCCAAAAAAATCAAGACACAAATATGATCATAAAGAAACCTGATTAGTTTTGTACCTTACTGAGCCGAAAACTACAAACTTACACAATCCTAAAGCACCATAAATTCTAATTGCAAGCATAAGGTTTCCTAACCTATTTCACTGCAATGTATCATATTGACAATATGCACATAAGATAGATAAAGATGATCATCGACCGACATTAAATAGCTAAGGATTAAAATAGACAAAGAAAAATTGGTGATAAATGTAATGATTTGGGTTTTATGTCCATTTTATTAATTAAAACTTGTGTTGTGTTAGAGTTGACTATTTTGAACATTGAGGAGTTAAACTTCAACCTAGGGTGGTTCTTGCTTAAAATTGGTCAAAACCTAAAATTTATAAAGTGAAATCTGATCACCTAACACATTTTCAGGTAGGGAAATAACCCAAAGAAGTGAAGTGGCGTGAGACTTCTTTTGTGATACATGTGAGGCCATAGTGCCAATCATTTGTTGAGAGCCAAGGGCCTCTTTGTTGTAAGCCCATAAGGGCATAACTTGTTGGTTCCATATGTTTTGACTCACATGTTGTAATCCAATGTATTGAAAATGAAATTTAGTTATGAGATTGCATGGAATGAATGAAATTGGATATATGGTTCCATGTTAGATTTCCCATGGAAATTGAGAGTACTTATCATGTAATTGTGTTAGCATCACATGTTTGCATTGTGATCCATTATTGACTTTGGACAGGAATAAGGTTACCGAACCCTTGAATTTGCCTATTAACCGAGACTGCTTGAACGATAAGACCATTTTCTTGACTCACCTAAGTTGACTTTCAACCTTCGACCTTCTCTTAGTCAACCTCCTTGGGGACTTTTCCTCGTAATTTTGTGATTTGTTTGACCTTAGTCTCCTATCCCTTTATCCCTTATGACAGACTCAGGTTATGGAATCTGAGGCGTGACAATAAAAGAGGTCCGCTTTGGAGCCATGTCCATGTTTTGATTTTGTTGTCACTAGGAACATCTCAATCTTTTATTTTACCTTGCTAAACACATATTAAAATATGAAATAAGAATTTCTTAACCTACAAGAATTAATGCAAAGTCCATGATACTTTAAGAGGTGGTTTAGGAAACCCCAAAACTGGTTTTATTGGGTATACCTTGGGTATACCTTGGGCATAGTCTGTTGGAATGTGTTCCACATCGCCTAAAGTTGCCTCATCTATAATGGTTATAAGGCTCCAGTTTCCCTCTCTTTAATACCTGAATTTTAAGAAGTGTGGATTGGGTTTTTCAATTTGGCATCAGAGCTTGGTTGGCCTTTTTAATTTGGCATCAGAACTTAGTTGGACATGTGACTGATGTTCCGTTTGTCCGGCTACTATTTGTTGTGGTCCAGGAGGATGTGTTGGAATATATCTCACATCACCTGGAATTACCCCATCTATACTGCTTATAAGGCTCCAGTTTCCTTCTCCTTAATACTTGGGTTTTAAGAAGAAGTGTGGATTGGGCTTTTCAATTGTCAACTTGGGTGGGCTTTTCAATTGTCAACTTGGCCCTTCATTTGGTAACGTTGCACAAGCTGTTAACTAGGGTCCTTGGGACCATTTTTGGAGTAAAAAAGGGTAGAACATAAATCATTTGGGGTTTGGTTTATGGAATTTAGGTTTCCCATTTGCATAACAACAAAACTCTCTAATCGCTTCATTTTATTTGAATTTCGCCCTCAAACTTTGAAACCTCAGTCAGAGTTTTGATGGAGCATTATCATGATTAGAAGACTTTCAAAGATCATTATAACTGCAGCACCACCACCATCAAATAACAGATTAATCAATTTTTCTTTTTGTCTTAATCTTCTTGAAACAATATGAATTTTGTAACCATTGGGTTTCAAAATTCTCCATTCTTTTTATCCGTAAATTATGTTTTCCTAATAAATTAAATGTTCAGTTTTCTAGTGTTTTAAAAAGAAAAATCTTGTCAGGAATTTTAGAATTTAGATTTTAACAAGGGAAAAACGGTAAGGCTTTCTTGCACTGACACAATATCATTTTTTATGACAAATAAATTAATGAACATATGAATGAACTTCTTTATATGATTTTTTCCCTCGAACTTTTAAACCTCAAAGCTTTATCAATCAAAAGACTTTGACGGAGCATTGTCGCTACTACAACACCACCATCATCTTCACCTTATTCATCTTCTAGAATCAAGTAACATATTAATATATATATATATATATATTTTTCAAATCTTCTTGAAATGATATGAATTTTGTGACCACTTGGATTTCAAAATTCTCCACTCTCTCTATACATAAACTATGTTTTCCTCAAAAATTAATCTTTGAGTTTTCTAGGGTTTTAAAAAGAAAAATCTCGTCATGGATTTTTTTGAATTTTGAATTGACTTTTGGTTAAACAAAGAAAAAGTGGCAAGATTGTCTTTCGTTGACACAACAGCATTTTTATGATATATGGACTAATGAACATCATATATGATGAAAGGGTGAACTTTGAGCCTTTTAAAATGAATTTTACCAAATTAATTTCTTTGTGGTGGAACCATTTCAATGAAAATTTGTTTTCACTAGGATACTTAAGAGGATTTGGTTTTGAACAAAACCAACCCAAAAGTAAAGTTTCTCAAACATGCGCTAATTTATGAGCTATATAAATTTTCGCACACTATGAGAAATATCTACCACCTATTAATGTTACATGGACTGTTTGATTCTCCCTTGCATACCTATGACGACCAAATATGAGAGATATCTAAGAGGGTTTGGTTGATTCTCCCTTGCATACTTGGGTCCACCAAATATGACAAGAGCAAGGGTATAAAATACGCGTTCAACCTCCATACTCATACTAGACACTTGGACCCTCTAATTTCCTATGATGTTTGTAGAAAAAAAACAGCTCACATTTGATAGTAAAAAATATTCTACTCTCTCAAATGAATGTGATTTAATTTGAAGTACATTCCTAAATAATAATAAAAAACAACGCCCAATTAGTACACATTAATGTGTGTTTCTACACACCTAACCTTTGGCATAATGACAAAGTGATTGTCCTGAGACTTGAACCCATAACCTCAAAGTCATTAGGCCAAAGTTTTTACCATTGAACCAATGGTCACCCCTTGCATTCCTAAATAATAATGTCATAATATTATATACTATACACCACATTTAAATATTCAAGACGTGTCAATGTTGTACCCATATCCAACTATTGGATACATATTCCCATATCCCAAGATTTAGAGTTTAGGAGGCTTGATACCCACATTCGACACTCGTAACCGAGTCCATATAACGTAGTGGCATTTGTTAAACTAATGATATCAGGACCCTTGCACATGTCTGCATTAGTTTCAAACGGAATACTTTATGCACAAAAATGATATAGCCTAAATGATTGGACCAAGTTAATGAATAATGTTGACACACTTGAATACAAGAAAAATATGTCGAAGCATACATATTGTGATCATAAGCATGTTTCATTTTCTAGCAGCCAGTAGAAATAGCACAAATGAGGTAAATTGTGCCCCATTTCAACATAACTGAGTAGATAATAATATTTTGATTACTAACCTTTTCTGCGGCATCTCGTAGTTTCTTCGCAGCCATTGACGGAAGAAATGAATATGACAACATTACAGCACTGCGGTTGTTTCGATCCTTGCACTCCATAAACCTGAATGAATAGTTACCATGATTAATATCTACAAAAAATTATCAAGAATTTAAAAAGGTTGCCAATCAACTATAATATTCACAAGGAGGATATGTTACATGCTATATTACAAACAAAAATTATAAAAAAATATCACTGGCTATGAAGTCTGAACTAATTTAAGACGGTTTTTCTTTTCAGCACAAACCTAAATTAGTTTATTTTTGTAAATCAGTAAGAATCTAGCCCAGCCTTGATCACTCTTTCGGTAAATATCCACACACATATTGAGTCACGATGGGCACCATTGTGCTCTTATAATATGAGAACACAAGTTAACCACAAGAGGGATAATGAGTTTACCATGAAAGAGGACTAGCAGTTTGATTAATGAGCAAGATGTTTGAGTATCGACTTTTCTCTTTGAGATCAGCCCGACTAACTCCTTGTACGTGAGCAATCCCTCTGCTCCCCAGCATCATACTTGTTGACAGGGCCTGATGCCATGCTTCAGAATTGTCTAATATTACAGGAACAGTGTTGGAGATGAGTTCCAGATCATACAAAGAATCCATGGCACAGGAGTTAGCCGCCCACCTAATAAGTAAAATAAGGCAAATATTAGCATACAGTGGCAGCCATATTTTTTTAATTTTGGCCATGCCATGCCAACATATAACTCATGCGACAAGTTCAATTTCAAGTGCAACAATCATGTCCTGGTTCATTTTATTGAGGGTAAATTACAAATACACCTCCTCAAATTTGATTATTTGGTTTTGAAAATTACATTCCACCCCCCTGAGATTTCTAATTTCATAACAAATCGCCCATTTTATTAATAAATCATCAAGTCAATTAACAGTTTTTAACGATGTTAAAAATATGTTTCAATTAATAATTTAAGTAATTTTATTATTGTATAGGAGAGCAATTACGAATTTCATTTCTTTAGTTAATTCTGTTAAATAAAAAATTCTAATAAAGGGGTATTTGTAATTTTTCAAACCAAAGGGCCAATCTGTATTTTAAGCATATCTTAGGGGATGTATTTGTAATTTACCCTTGTATTGATAAGCAAACTAGGAAACACCTGATATACATGTAAGACACCAATCCTCTGTCAGTGTTTGTACTATGCAGTGAACCATAAGCCTCAAATTGTTGTTTTTTTAACAAAGAATCGTAACCGCAAGTAAAATAATTTATAGTTCAGCAATGTTGCAATATCACTAACGTCTAACAGAAGATTCATTGCAAAATAAGCCACATGAAACTTACCTTTCCTGTGAAGTTGCATTGTCTGACTGATAAAGAATTCCTTTCTTGTTATGTATTGGACTAATACACATCCTAGAAGGCATCACAAAAGTTCTGCAACAAGAAAGAGTCGTGGAATCAAAACCCTTATCACTAAGATCGTGATAATTACTTAGTCTCAGACCAATGGCAATGGTGCCCTAGTCCTTCTGGATGTTACAGGCATCTTATTTCTAAGAACATGAAATGAAATCAAATTACTCAAACTAAACAAGCTTTGGAAATGCAAATAAACTCAATTTATATGCCTTCAATTCATAAAAATCTAAAGGTCAATTTTGTCCAGATCTCATTTGCTCTAAACATTAAATAGTCATATTCATGGGTTCGACTTCCAAATTTTACAGAAACAAAGTGGGTGTTTGGGAAGTTGCTATTTTAGTAGGCTAAAATTTTTGTATTTAGAAAGATGATTGGATTTTTTTGTAATTGGAAGTGATGCTTGTGAGAGAAAAAGTGAAATGATTATGGATTTGATGTGACATTTTATCTTATTAAAGGGTTGTTTGGGGTGTTCTAAATGAGTGTACTTTTTGTCTTTTTGGACTAAAAAATTGAGGAAGAAAATATACATGTTTGGGTTAACTTTTTGACTTTTTGTAGAAAAATATATAATAAAAAATTGTAAAAATTGGTTTTTAAGAGAAAATTAGGATTAAGAGTTGTGCAGCCGTAATTGTTGACTTTTGGTGAATAGTATTAACTTTTTAACTTTTTGAGTAACTTTTTGACTTTTTGACTTTTCCTGGACATGCCAAACTTGGCCTAACTATTTTAGCCTATTTTGTCTTTTTTGTGGATTTTAGCCTAAATTAGGCTAAAATATTACTTCCCAAACAGCCCTCAAGTTTCTGAAATTTTCATCTTCAAACTCCAAGTCAAATGTGAAAACAGTTAAATCGCCAGATTTTCTAATTCTTTAACCAAATTATTCCAAAATTTAACTGGTTTTATTACAGCATAGCCATAATTTTTTTCCCCCTAAAGGCAGAAGGGATTGATCCAGTTTCAGATGGATACCCTGAGAACCTAACACAAAGAAAGAAAATCCAGCATCATAAATTCTCAATTGGGAAATAATGGAAATTGCAAATAACAAGACCAAGCATAGTGATTATACCTATCTTTAAAATCCTTGAAAATTTATTAACATTCTAAACCAGCAAATCTTACTAAAATGCACATCACTCAAGTCATTACATGTCACCTTCTATAAACAAACCGTCAAAAAGCCCATACATTGTTTCCCAAATTATCTTTCAATGATTAAGAAGAACGAAGAAAGAAGAAATTAGAAAAGTCACAACAATCCTGACAAAAATCCATTTGCTAAAAATGCAGCTCTCTTTTTCCCATTCTTTAGGAGTTTCACCTGTAGTTCTTCAAACTCAACTCAAAACTAATAATAATAATAATAATAATAATAATAATAATAATAATAATAATAATAAAATTTAAATTTAAAAAAAAAAAGGAAAAAAAAAGGTCACATTCACAAACAACTCTACCAACAAACAAAATCAAAAGTAGATACCTCTGAAGAAACATGGCTTCTTCAAGGGCACACCTGAGGCTGGACTCTTGATGACCCAAACCCTCACAGGACTGGCAATGCTTTCCAGGACAGTCGATTCTATTACCCCAGAACAAGTACTTTTCAGAGCTATTGTAAGGTCTGTGATAGTACAAGTTATCTGAGTTTTTTGTAGAGGAAAATGAGAACCCATTTGTAGAATTGAGAGAAGAAATAAGGCACAAGAAAGCAATTACTGCAATGGAGACTGTGAGTATGAGGATTCCAGATCTGGGTTTTTGCTTGCTCTTTGGGGTTTTGCGGATCGCCATTGATGTTTGTTGGGAGAGTGGATGAAGAAACAGGTCCGGAGTCGGGACTGATCTTTACTTCTGCTGACTTTTATTGGAGAATGTGTTTTGATCAGGCGTTGTTTGAGAATGATTTAAATAATTATATTTATTTAAATTATATTATTTTTAAAATTTTTTAATATATTTTTTAGTAAATAATTAAAAAAATAATAATATTTCGTAACTCGAAAAAATTAGTTCGAATATCCCAAATGACGTCGTTTTAGGTAAAAAAAAAAATTTTCCTTACTTTCGAATACGGATAGAGGGAAGAGGAGAGACGCGAGAGAGACAAGAGAGAAGAGAAGAAAGAGAAGAAGGATAAGAGATGGAGAGATGGAGAGATGGAGGAAGAAGAGAAGACAGTAATGGCGACGATGGCGGAGGAGGAAGAGAAGGAAGATCGACAGTGATGGTGGCATCTTTCTCTCTCTGTTGGTGGTGGCACCGGTGGGTATCACCAATCGCTTCTTTCAGAATCTGTTTTCTCTAATTTTTTTTTTTACTAGTGGATCTGGATCTGAAAATAAAGGGAAAAAAAAATTGTTAATGATTATGATGTGTTGATGATAATGATGATGATATTGATAAAAATGTTGTTGTTGATGATGATGATGTGTTGATGAAGATATTGTTGATATTGATGTATCTCTCTCTCTCTCTCTTCCCATCTCCTCTCTTTCTTGTTTCTTTTTCTTCTTTTTCACCTTCATCTTCTTTATCTTTAGAAAAATGTGAAAAAAAATAATTAGTGTGTTTGGTTTAAGTTTTTTGGATTAAGCTTTTAAAAATTGAATTTTTTTGTTTTGGTATTCTTTTGTTTTTAGTGAATATTTTTAAAATTTTAAATATATATATTTTTTACTTTTTTAGATGCACCTTAGTTAGATGTATCTAAAAAGTAAAAAATTTGTAAAAAAATATTTTAAAAAATTAATAAATACATAGAAATATAAAAAATATACTAAATTCTTGTATTTTTTTTTTTGTATTTTTGGTATTTAGTAAATTCTTAAAAGACTTTTTTTACAATTTTTTTACTTTTTAGGTGTATTTATGTTAGGTGTGTCTAAAAAGTAAAAAAAATTTACTGAAAATATTTAAAAAATTCAGTAAAAACAAAAAAACACGAAAATAAGAAAGTAGAATTTTCTAAAAAGAGAAACCAAGCAAGATGAATAATAAAATAAAAAACGACGTCATTTTGGATTTGGGACATTTGAGCCTTATTATTTTCGAGTTACCAATCGAACTATTAAAAAAAAATATTAGCAATTCAAACAACCCCTACTTTGATCAAGTTTTTATTTTTTTAATTCTAACTAGTTTTTATACGTAGAATTTATAGAAATAATCCCATTTCTCTAATCTTTTTATAAAATGTTTATTAAAATAAGGCAGAAACATTTTTTTCCATCATACTAAAGATTCATCAATTTTTTTTTTTTTTTTTATATCAAATTTGAGTTTAATAAAATTTAAAGGCAGAATAACACATCAGTGAAGCAAAAGCTATTTGCAAAAAAAAATGAAAAAAATTATGAATTTAATTATTATTACTTAATATTTATAATATTTTATTTTTTTTTTGTAAATATTTTTTACTGGTACAATGTGAGCGTAATTTCCCCAAATTTAAAAACATAAAGTATTAAAGATTATTTTTCTTCATCAAATTTGATGAAAAAAATAGATTTGGGATAAGAATGAATTTTTTTTAACAAAGATTTTGACAAAAATTTAATGAAAAATTTGAAGTAATTTATATTAAATCAAGTTATTTTATTTTATTTTATTTAAATTTGAAATCAAATTAGATAAGAAAATAGTGAAGAGTTGGAGATGTCTTTATGACTACTATATTGTAGTTTTCTGTTAATTTCATTTCTTTCGTCATCCATAATTTCTATTAATTATAAGTCAGTTTCTCTCTCTAAAATATGACCGTTAGAGAGAGCTCTGAGGAACTTTGACGCACATCGGAGGAACAAGATCATCTTGATCGAAGCAACAAAAAGGTGAAAGAGCCAGAACCAACTGTCACGAACTCGATTGATAGTCATGGGGTTGATGCACAAATGAATGAGGCGTTGTTGGACCAGAATGCAACAAAGGGCCCAACTAATGCTGATAATGGAATGCTACATACCCAGATTAAAGAGTAGTCCTTCAAACAAGTGCTCTTGCGATCCAGATTCAATGAGAATGATAAGGAGAAAAGCTTTGATTGTGATACGGACCACCTCACTTTGGATGAGGAAATGGAAGATGATGGAGACCTAGAGGGAGGTATGGAAATCATCGGTAATGGGTCCAACCCAGTAGTCAAAATCTCCTCTGGTCTGCTAAAGAAGGTTAGGGAACCATGGAAGAAGTGCCTTATCGTGCGATTACTGGGCAAAAATATTGGGTATAATCTTTTTGTTACTCGAATGCAAAGAATATGGAGCCTTCAAGCGAACTTTGAGGTACTGGACATTGGAAATGGTTTACTCTGTTTCAAATGATGGATGATTACTCTAAAGTCTAGACTAGTGGACCCTGGGTAGTCATGGACCACTATGTTACTGTGCGAAAATGGCAACCTGACTTCAAATCCGACGAGGCTGAGGAAGACACAACTGTAATCTGGGTTCGATTTCCAAATCTTCCTATTGAATACTATGACAAAAAGATTATGTACCACATTGCTAAGGCTCTTGGCATGCTTGAAAGTAGATATTAATACGGTTATGGCCGCTAGAGGCAGGTATGCTCTAGTCTGTGTTGAAATGGACCTTTGTAAACCTCTAACCTCGCACCTGATAATTGGAAAGTATAAATATGTAGTGGAGTATGAACATGTTCATCTGCTCTGTTTTGCTTGCGGAAGAGTAGGGCACCGGAGAGAGAGATATATGGAGTATCCGATGACAGTGCTGGAGAAGATGAACCAGAACAAGGACACTACCCATTTGGGAACCAATGGAGCAGGACCATCAAAGCCCAGGGGGCAAGAAAAGGAGGATGGGCTGAACGATGACATTGTTGAAGGTTTTGGGCCTTGAACCACTGCGCCCAGTAAAAGACGGAGGGTAAAGCCATTGAAGCCCAAACAAAAAACATCCCATCCAAAAGGTAATAAATTTGAAGTCCTACAAGAAGAGTAAATCCCAGTGGAGATGTCCAGCCCACAACAGGTTCAGGAGACCACAAATGCAAAAGCAACTAATGAGGCAATAGGAGGAATTCCTAATGACAAAGACCAAGGCCCATCAGTAAATCAAATGGAGATCAACCAAACAATGTTGAAAGACAAAGCCCAAACTCACACGGTAAGAAATAAAGACAAGCTAAAGGCCATTGAAAAAGGGCCGAATGGAATAGCAATGAGAACACATGAGAAGCAGTCCAACAAAAAATTGAAAGGGATAAGCTTTAGTACCAGAGGTGTCAGCTCTGATCAACTAGCTGGTCAAGAAAACCCCCTCCTCAGTCACTTTACTGATTCTCCACAAGAAAAGAAACCAGAGCTTGCTCTTGATAGCTCCTACAAACCCAAAAATCGAAAACCTCCAGATTTGTTTGAGAGAAGAAGATGGAGGAAATAGTAGAAGAGGTCTCAATGGTGAAACACCGAGTGGATCAATTCAGAGCTCTGATGTTTTTAGAGCCAAGAAAAGAAGCTTATCACCATGTCGGCATAGATTGGTGGAGAAACGAAGTGAAATTACTGATTCAACCATGGAGGGAGACGGATGCACACAATATGAATCACATTGTGTTGGTGAAGCCTTTGGAAACACTGGAAGACAGTTTGAAGATGGCAAAAATTGTCTTAGGCCTTACTGAAGAGGAGGAAATACCACAACTCCATGGATATTCTTCTTTGGAACTGTTGGCTTATTTTTCCTATGAATGAAAATATCATAAATGTGAGCATGTCAGTAAGGATTGAAAAATCCTTACAGATTAAATTCAAGCCAATTATCAAGCGATTGTGTTGACGGTTCTTTTGCCTCAATGAAGAGGACTTCAAAATTGTCAGGTGTAGAGAAAAGAAAAAGTAAAAGATGAAAAAGGGACAGAGAAAGATGATTGAGTAAACAATCAAAGTAATAATTACTTACCTCTACTCCTAAGCTTCGAAAAGAAAGTGCATAAAATGCTTCGAAATGGAAATGCTGAAAATAAATGCTTCGAAACATAAATCTATGTTAAACTACTCTTAAGATAAGGAAAACGACAAGAAATATTGAAATCAATTGTCTTTGATTATGAATTCTGGCTCTTTTACAATGTAGCCATTAATGCCTATTTATAGAAGAAAAAATACAGCAATAATTACTTAGTAACTACCAATTTCTTCCATCTTCATTCTTGTCTTGCCATGTGCCCTTCCACTCATCCACTTTGTCCTCCCACTCATCCACTTTATCCTTCATATTCTCCATTATCTCTATAATTTCTTTTAACTTCCAAATGAATAAGAGGATGCCACGTGTCCTGCAATTATATAAGTAATAAATAATAATAAAAATTGTAGATTTATGGTGCTAACAGGAACTATAGGGGTGCCGGAAACGATCGATTCAAGAAAAATCTGAGGGACATTGTAAGGCTTCACAAGCCAAGTATGGTCATCCTCCTAGAAACAAAGGTAGAACTCAATACTGTGGGTATGTATTTTAATCACTTAGGGTTCATGGTTTCAACTCATGTAGACCCAATTGGCCGAAATGGGGGAATATGGATGCTTTGGGATCCCAGTCAAGCAAATGTTCGAGTAACGAAAGCAAACTCCTGAATGATTACTGCAACCATCTAAAGACAAGGCTATCCAACGTGGGTGCTCTCTGTAGTGTATGCTAGTCCAAACAGCCGGTTGAGGGATGAGTTATGGGAAGGACTTGAATCTGTAGCCCAAAACACCCAAGAACCATAGTTGGTTGCAGGAGATTTCAATGACTACTCTAGCTCTGAGGAAAAACGTAGCTTTTCAGTTACACAAAATCAAAGCCAGAACCTTAGCCAAACTCGTAGGAGAAGTAAAAAATTTGCAAAATGAATCAACGATTGTAATTTTATGGATA